CTGAGGGACGGATAGTCCCTCCCCCAGAAAAGTTGGAGAAACCTCATTCTTTGACCCAGAGCAACATTTTACATAGGCACAGTATAAACTCCAGGCACTCAGTTCCCTTAAAAGAGCCAAATTAATATTTGATTAAATATTTTAAAGCTCCTACTTACCATGCTTGACACATTTTCTCAGCAAGTTTCTCAAATAAAGAACTCATTAGGCACAGGGCAATTTTACATTTGAATACATAAAAAGAATGTGAGGAGACATAACTGTGTGCAGACAGAGAGGGATTTCCCCCCATTAATCCCCCAAACTGCCCTTCCCCTTGGATAAGGGTATGTTAATTCCTGGCTTCGGCAGCTCACTCTCTCTGGGCAGGTTTGAGCGGGTTTCTCCTGACACCTGGATCTTCACGCCCTTCCATCCCTCCCTCCCTCCATCCCTCCCTCTGGCAGGAAAACCACCGGCCTCCGCCCTGGCGCCGTCCCCGCTGGTGCCCAATCAATACCGACTTATTTCCTGTCCATTTGCTGAGGTCACGGAAACGGGACTCATCAATTATTTCTACCGGTGCAGCCTGAAGTGCGCTTCTGGCACAACAAGCGAAAACCGTCTGTGACCTTTTTATTTTCCTCTCCCAAATTTTGCTGGTGGCGGCGGTGGCAGCGAGTGCGCGTTCCTCTGCCGGGATGGGATGAGGTATCAGAGGTGTGAGGCGGCACTGGTGTCCCCGCTAGGTTGCTTCCACCTGTGGAGGGAGAGATGCTCCTCCCGGAGCAGCAGGTCAGGGAAACCTGGTCGCGGCGTAGACGATGTTGGCCAAGGCGTCCCTGGCTTCCGAGGGAGGGAATCGCTCCAGGGCTGCCAGAGCTCTGTTTCCGTGGCAGCGGCAGAGGTCGATGGCAGAAGTCACACCTTTGCCAGCCTTGATCGCTTCCTGCAGCTGTTGGAAAACACAGGCACTACGGTGTGGGGAGTGTTTCGGCCGTGCACAATTATCTCTGGGAGCACAGGGCTTCTACCGCCTCTTCCCGAGGTAAAGGCAAAGCCAAAGCCCTCAGACAAAGCCCTTAAATCCTCTCAGCCGCACTGTTTAGCTCCCCACTGCAGCGGAACTGTGTGTAATGGAAACTACACCACCCGTTACTTCATCACCTGAAAGATGCTGGCTCTCCAAAGGGCACACTTAAGCTAAAAAAAATAAAATTAAAATTTTAAATATGTGAACATTTCATACCTCAGCCACTGCCTGAGAGCTTTTGTTCAGAACTGGCAAACCAGCCATTTGCTCACACTCCTGTTTTCTGCAGTGAAAACCTGCATTTTATGAATACCCATTCTGTCCCCTGCTTTCAGAAACCAGCATAGGATGACACAGGTGGAACGACTGTGTTTTTTAATAGGGCTTTCTATTTATAAACCATGTGATTACATTGGTCATAGTGGACAAAAGCAAATTTTGTCAGTAAAATGTGGTAAACTATCATACTGAACTCATGCAAACTCCACCTTATCAATAAGGCTAGGGAATTTGACAAAGGCTTGCTGCACAGCATATGAGAAAGAAAATCCTTTCATAGAATAACTGACATTTCATAGCAAGTTGCTGGAAAGATTTAGCACCTAAAAAACTTGAGTAAATGATGGGTTAAATTTCCTATAAAATACTACAGGCAAAATTAACAAAATAAAGCATGTTATTTTACCTATACCTGAACTTAGCAGAACTCTAAACAGCTTCTATTAAGGGCTTTTTTATTTTTAATTAGTATTTTTTTTTAACAGCACCATGAGATTGTCATGAAACACTATTACATTTTCTACTCTAAAATACAGGTGTTTCCAGGCTAACTCCAGCCTCATTCCTCATCCAAGAGCCTGGGAACAAAGGCCAGGTGCATCTTTGGGATTTGGTTTTTCCAAAAGCATTACAGCATTTCATGATGCCCTACATGGTTTTCACAACTGTCTTACATCACTGCACCAGCTTTTTTAAAAAATGGCTTTTCTTGGATACAGGTGCCTACAGTAACAAACTATACAGGGTTTCCTAAGTCATGTTTTTTATCAATACACAGCTCAATGCCCAAATTATTGAAAAAATACCAACAGTATGACCTTACTTATCTGGTTTAAATCATATACATATATATACATATACACACACATATCTTTAAAATTAAAATCCTAGATACGACCAAATTGTAAGTCACCCACTTTTGATACACACTTGCATTCATACAGAATGAATGATGCCTCTCATCTGAAACTGGATTCATTATCTGTATTTAAAGATGAAATTAGCTGAAAGCATATTACAGCACTTGAGTGTTCAAGTCCCAGTTCATAAAAATTTTATTCTCCTCTTCAGTTGGAATCTTCCTGCACTGTGTGCTGGAAAGGAACTTGCCCTGAGGCATAAATGCATCACATAGCTAATTCAGCATGTCTTCGAATGAGTGGGAATCAGCCATGTTTCGAGGGCTCTGCAGCAAAGGTGAGGATAGGTGAGACGAGGTGCTCTAGCAGCGTGCAAAGGTGTCCCTTCCTCTTCTTTGAGGCACAGCCTTGTGGGACAGTGTAACCCACACATCTTGAAGCAAACTGCTGATTTGCTAAAACTTATTACAAAGGATTAGCATAACTTCTAATACTCATGGAAGTACATACTGGGATGCAAACAGGAAAGAAAATAGCTCCTAGAAAGTCTTCAAATTGGTGAAAAGCCAGAGGAGCTTAGCTTAGCCATATATATGCTCACATATATGTACCATGACTTAGCTGAAAGAGCAGAGTCTGGAAAGGGGGAGAATCCTAACACAAGGACACAATCCATTTACACGCCTGTCTTGCGTAAGCCCTCAGACACATGCACTGCTTTGAAGCCAATACAATCACAAAGCTCGTGTCAAACTATAGGCAGAGAAATCACTACACAAAAATCAGACTAATCTGCTGTTGAATGTTTCCCAGCAAAGTTCAAGGAATGTCAAAATGGAAAACACCTGCTTGTATGGAAAGCTTTTCAGTTAGAGATCATCCTACGTTAACAAACAATTTATAGGCCACAAAACTTATCTTTTTTGTATTCCATTTGCAGAAGTAGCTGGTCAGCTCAAATAAGCATACGCAGAGGCAAAGCAGTCTGAACTAACCAGACTGACATACTAGCTTTATCTCAGTAGGGGTTATAAAAGGGAAAAAGAATTACAAATTCAGCTTTTTGTAGTGGGAAAGTTCTTAAAGAAATACAGGAACTAACTCTGTAACAAACCAGGCTTCAGCAGTCCTGCTGTATGCAAAAGCCCCCTAATTTAAGACTTTAGTTGTACTCTTGGTTATATTAAAGTTATATTTTCAGACTCTCCCTCTCTCTCAGATTTTGAGCTTCAATAATTTTATGTAATTAACTTCACAAACTAAGGACACAAAAGAAAGCACATCAGTGTATCAGTATAGATGCATTATTTTTAATATTATATAGCAGCTGATTTTTGCAGCAAATGAACAGAACAGCAAAATTTACTGCTTTTATTTTTTACTTTATAAATTTTATTTAAGCTCCTTCATTGATTTCTTCTAAATATAAGAATCTGCTGTTTTAGTTTCTACTTATATGGCATATTTAATTTTGTGCATATTTCCACTTGTAGGAACAATTTAATCCACACAATCTTCTTCAGAATGATATTCAGTAATTACAACTGAATACAAGTCAAAACACAGATTGCTTAGCTACACTTTTCTCCAGTTGAACTGCTAGATATGCTGGAATACTGCGTTTTTGCTTTTAAGCTTTTGTTCAGACAATTGGCATTAAAGCCTTACTTCATTGTAGAAGTGCCAAGACTCCGAAAAAATCACCAACTGGGTTTTGGTTATTTAAATTCAGCTTAAAGAATAGTCTTGCAATAGCACAGCCAAGCTGAGGCTCAGATGAGAAGTGATCTCCTCCACAACGTGTCTGCACTGTTTTACAATCTGAGCCCTTGAAGATACTCAGAACTTAACTGAGCAAACCCACACTGGCTCTGCTTTGAGCAAGAGGCTGGACCAGACATCCCTCAAATGTCCCTTCCAGCTTCCATTACTGTATGACTCTGTGAAGAGAGTTCAAAGTACCATGTTTCTTAGTCTGTTTGTTTTATAAAGGTAAAGAGAGGATTTCTCATCCATACCACAGAAGAGAAGGATTTGCCTTTCAGACCAACTGCTCTGGATTGCTGTTGGACAGAACAGCTGGTCTGAGGGCAGAAAGAGGTCAAAGAGGAAAGCTAGGAATTGCTGGATTTTGGAGACTGAAGAACTAAAGGAGTCAAAAACTAAGCAGGTGTTCAAGTATGAACAAGTACAACTAATTTCAAATCTTCTCTGCTGAGACACTTCTGCTTCATGAGCCAAAGCAAAGAAAATTCCTTTCACACAGTGCTACCTGTAGGGAGCAACAAATTTGGGGCAGGGTGGGAAGACTTGCTGAGTATGTAGTGGATATTTTGGCTGTAATAGACTTTATACGCAATAAGAGAAAGAGAGCGTTGAAATTCCTGATTTTTTTTTCTTAGTACAACCTAGGATTAATTATTTCCAATTATTAATTATTTCTGATTAATTATTTCAGTGGCAAAATATGAAAAGTAACTTCAGATTTTTTTGATGTAGTTTTAAAAGGATGATCCTAAATCAGATAATTTGCTATCTACTGAAATCTTTGAATATCATGCATTCTCTCTGATCCTGAAGTGAGCTAACACATTCTAAATTTCTGAAGTACATAGTACTTGCTGAAATGAAAAAATCTAAATTGATCTGTGGCTGAGTGACGGAATAAAGCTCAAAATGTCTGCAGTGTTCTGCACTGGCTTTCCTAAATTTGTTTTCCCTTTTCTGGGAACAGCATGCTTAATAAGCACTGGTGTTTTAGACTGCTGAAATGTTAACCTTAAAAAAGTATCAACATATTTCATAGGTATTAGATAAATTTTGTCAATTTTTTTTCTTTGTTTTCTACAGAAGTACTTTGGAATGTTTCAGCATCCATTCTTGTGGCTGGATATAGGGTTGAGCTCTTCCTTCTCAAAAAACCCCTGGACAATCATTTATTTGTAACACTTCATAACATAGGATATAAAAGTTTTTTTTTAATCTTTTGTTTGCCAATGCAGCATGATATGACAGCTGAAACTGGGGCAGTATTTATCAGATATTTTCTGAGAAACCTTTTCTGTACAAAAGGTAAAGAAATGCATCTTCAAAGGGCCTAAACAGGGCCCTGCAGAAGCCTCCATTAGCAGAGTAGAATTTATTTTCTTTATTCATCTGACAAACAGAAAAAAATTATTTTTACTTCAAACTGAAACCCACACTATATATAGGATGAGACAAATATGGGGAGGGTCGTCCCCAAGAGGAGAGGAAGGATGGCCTGCTTACAGGGAACACTGCTGTTACACAACTCTTATAATACTCTGCCAAAAAATTACAAGCCATCCTAAGATGTACAGATTCTTTATTATTTTGGAAGGGACACCAAAGCCTTTCTATGTCTTTCACAATGAACTTAACAAGACCTACAAGTTTTTCAATCTAAACAATGACAGTAGTGAAGAATCTTTACCCAAAATTACCATTTTCTTAAATCCCACTAATGCAAACAGTCTTTGTTAATTGTCATATTAGCACACACATGCAATCATCTTCATATTTATGTTAAAACATATTATTTGCTTTAGTGAAACAAAAGTTATGCTGGATTCTTACCCCAAAGAAGCAAGAAAATACCCACTGATTACAAACAAAGATGCAACTGATTGTTGGTACTGGATATGCACCTTGATAATTCAGATATTAATTCCAAAAAATAAGAAAATTGCTTCATCTGAATGGTTTTAGATGCTTTTGTAATACTACTAACACATCTAAAAAGCCCCATCTTCATTAAATCACTGACTATGCTGTGTTTTTTACTATATGTAACAAAAGGAACTAATGACAGTGGTTGCTCCAAAACAAACAAGATAAATCTTCATGTAAAGCCAACATGGAACATAAGCATCTACACACAACCCTCTGTTTTTAACTCTTTGCTGCATTTCAGAAGCAAGAGGGAGAGCAGCCAGTGGCCTACAGTCCCATGACACAGCTCATGATGACTCCCTGGCATGTTAACAAAGCCATGGGATCCCTGTCCCTTACACCACGAGGCTGCAGACCCGCAGCCAGCACCGCACAAGGTGGCTGCACGCACTGTGGCAGGCGGCAGTGGGGTGGGCAAGGGCAGCCCACACCTCTGGCTGGCCCCTCTGGCTGGGGCTGGCCCCTCTGGCTGGTACCATGCTATTGTTATTTATTAGCAGCATGGCAGTAGGCTGCCACTGAGAAACCTCCTCATGACCAAATGTGACCTTTCCCATTTTCCTTCTCTCTTTCCTACCATATGGGAAGTCAAGACTTTAGTGCCATGCAGTGTATGAACAGCTGGATCCACCCCATCCTGACTCATGCCTTCCAGCACTGTGCAAACTCAGCTCCTGGTGCTGACGTAGTGCACAATATCTCATGTACAAACCAAGAAAGGATGTCATAGCACACTACCCCAGACTATGCCATGCTTTCCATGCCAGTTTGGATGAAAGGCCTCTCTAACAGACAGTAGAGCAAATGGACAGGGCTACATTAAAAAAAAAAAAAAAAAAAAAAAATTTTGCTATGTTCTCTCTCACTTGACTTAATTTATCTTTTCTGAATATTGCATTTAGAAAAGTAACAAATCATTGCAGTCATCAATTGCAAAATACAAGATTTTTTTTTTATTTATTTAGTATTATATTATAATTTTTCTAGAGCCTTGGCCAAAAAACAAGAATTACTCCTAGCTTACTCATTTCTGCTACTAGCTGGACCTTTGTTACACTCCTTTAACAAGCCTCTATAATGTAAGCACCATTAAGGCCTTAGCTTTAGCAGAGAGTTTTTAATTAATGTTATCAAGTGGTAACAATTAAATTGAAAAATCTCAATTTGTTGTTTGAGTATTATGCAGCTTATCTTGCACGCAAGGTATGTGTAACATGGATAAAAACTTCTTGATTTTAAGAAGCCTGAAATTTCTGCCACGTACAAATGAGGGGGACAGGGAAGTTGCTGTTTCTTTCAATTACATACAATAAATTTGTCCCTTACATGCATTGGTACTTTCCCTTTTATTATCTGAGAAACACCACAAAAACAGCTGAAACAATTTTTTCATCTCTGGAAGAGACTTTCAAACACCACAATGATGGATCAATAATTTCTCTGGATGCAGTGTGATAGCATAGAAAAAAACAGAGTGAAACACTCAAGATACTAATGTGAAAAAATATACATTCAGAATACATACAATATAAAAAATCCTTCTGATAAAAAGATTCAACAAAGCTGGGATGATAAATCCCCAAAAAATTTTGCAAAACATAGTGACCTTTTTGACTTGACCGTCTCAGACCTAATCAAATTAACAGAAAGCATTTAATGTCTATATATTCGTGTCAGAGACCTCATCAAACATGCTAGTACAATACAGGTATTTTTTGTCAGTGAAAAAAATCAGGGGTACCATTTTAATATAACATGCATCAAAAGAAAAATTCAGAATTCTTAAGCAGTCTCAAAATTGAATTAAGACTTTTGCCTTTTAGGAAGGCACATTAAATGTGTGGATCTCAATTTCTCAAATTTACTTACATTATTTTAATTGAAAGTGCAGCAAGCAAGGTAAAACTTCTTAAGTAGGCTAACAACTTTTGTATACGTATATTTATGAGTTTAACTAAGGAATAATATTTTTATCTCAATTAAGTGGCACACTGAAGTTCATAATAAAAACTAAGAGAAGAAAAATAATTGAAATTTTCAGAAGTTCTACAGCTAGTTTTGGTGATCTTTGATTTTACAAAATTAAAGAGGAGATATTTGGAGGCTCAAAGAGAAACAACCTCCCAGATTTGATTAGGAACATTAAAGTAACTGCATCAACTGAATAGAAAGATGAGAAGGGACTGTGATGCTCAGAAGAAAAGACTGAGCAATGTGCAAAGCACTGGCTCTAGTGATGCAAGAGAAAAGACAACAAAAAAAAGCAAAAAGCAAAAAAAAGCAAAAAAACCCCCCTAATTTGTACAGCACAACATGCCCTCTAATTGGCTGTGTGCATGTGCTGGTCAAGTCATTCTGCTGGGGACAGCTGCAGGTTCCTGAGTTGATTTAGCATAGATATAACTAACAACCACTTTTACTTTAAACTAACAAATATAGCAAAGTAGTGGGACACGATAGCCAAGCTTTTGAAACTGACTGCTAAAAAAAAAAAAAAGGTGGAAGTTGTTTGAACTCACAAAAATCATGCACAATTTTTCACTATCATTCACCTCATAATATCATTACTTGCGCAAGAGATAATTACCCAAATCCAGAAAAAACCATGTGCCTTCTGGCAGAAGTCCATTGCTCAAAATACAAAAGTTGAAGGGCTTTCTCTACTTCTTTACCTTTTATTCAAGTGTCCAAGTTGCCTAAGCATAATGTAAGTTTTTAAATTTCATGTGAAGGATCCAAGATCTGAAATAATTTCAGTTAAAATACAGAATAGTCTGACAAACGTTTAGGAAAGCCAATTTAGACGCTTTTCTTTCCCCTTTGCTTTTTTTTTTTCCAAGTATGGAAATTACACTCTGTGGATTTGTGGAAATGACAACTCTGGATCACAATTATAACAATTAAAGGGAGAAAACTCATTCTGGACTTGCAAAAGTAACCTAGCTTAAACATTCACAGGAGTGTCCCCGAGAGACATCTGAAGAACAAATTTGGTGCTCTCACTGGGGATTTAGAAGAAAGAAAACTGATACAATTGTGACTGGTGTAGAGAACATCCTAAAAACACAATTATTTTAAATGGCAAAGTAAGTTGAGATCCTTCTGCCATTTTAAGAGGAAGGAAGGGCAGAGAGGATTTTTAATAATCCAAATTGCAATTTTTCATAATGCAGAATAATTACAATAATCTGACCCGTACTTATGTAGCCTTCCATATGAGCAGCAATCAGTCAGAGCTGTAACACTCTTCAGGCCCCACTTCAAGAAGTAATTCTCAATCATGCATGTAGCTCAGTAATTTATGTATTATTTCCTACTGATGCTGGAGATAACTGATTGGATTTCATGATCTGCTTAGGACTCAGAACAAGTCAGGCCATGCTCAGTGAGCTGGGAACACAGTGTCATCTCTCTCTACCACAAGCGTGCTGTGCTCCAGTATTTAACCAGGGGAACCTTGTCAGCCATCTCCTGCAGCCCTTTAAGAGTTTCAAGGTGTCCCAGCTACTTCCAGTAAAGCTACTTAGTTCAGGTCTGCCTTTATTAGAGGGAAGTAGCAAATACAGCGCTGTAAAGATAGAAGTTGTAATGGGGAATGGAATAAACCAAATTATTTTAATGGATGGCATGGAACTAAGAAGAGATTAAAAAAAAATTAGCAGTGTACTCTACCAATAGAGAGAGACCACTGATAGGATCTAATCTGTAAGTGACTGTAGGAGAAAATAGACAGCAAAAGCCATCAGAAGCCTGGTTTTAAAATCAAGTTTGGGGAAGTAAATGGGAGAAATGACAGTAAAAATTATTCAGTAACTACATTATTAAATTACTATGATTAGATACATTATTAAAATACTATTATTAAATAGCTACACTTTATAGTTGCAGCAATGCTGTCTATTAATGGCTTTTTAAAAATCAAGAAATTGCACAAGCGATTCTCCTGCCCTTCATATACACACATCTAACTTACAACATAGCTTTAATAAGGAAGTTTCTCTCAACTGCCAAGAACATTCTTGAAAATATTTTAAAATATAATAAAAATTATATATAAATGTAATTTACCAACCTTCTTATAGTCCACAATGTTTCCTTTTCCTTGTGCCTAAAAAAGAAAGAGATCTTTTATCAGACAATACATACTACAAACTAGAGTTGCAAGAATAAAGAATGCAATTAAATGAGCTACTACTTTGAACATTTCTTACTTTCTTTAGGAATCTGATACAGAAAATCCTAAAATACAACCAAATGTGTTACCAACATGGCTCTGTTTCAGATGAGAGCTGCAGATACTCTGTGTAATTTTTAGGTTTTTTTTTTACTATGACTTGTAGTTAAACATTTGGTGAATCCAAAATGTTTTGGTCTTAAGAAATCTTGCTGTTTGCATTAATTAATCTCTCCCATGAGATTCTGTAATCAGCTCTACTTCCTATCAGCAATAACAGGATTTACTTTCTTTAAAGAAAACTCTGTATACCTACACTGGCTTGCATGAGGCAATAGTCTAGACTTCCCAAAAGGGCTGTTAGACCCTGTCAGAGCTGTTACCAGACTGGAGGTGCTTTTAAGTATCAGCATCACCTTTTGAGGAAGTGACAGATAAATACAACCTGTACCTCCTAATACATTGAGAAAGAAATACAAATAAATTTTAAATTTCTTCTTGCCCAGATGCAGGCAAATATGTTGTCCAACTTCCTGAATTTTTTCACACAGTGATCTAGAAGATGTCTTTCTCACTTAACCAACCTGAAAACCCTTCCCTGAGATCTGATCTGGATGTGCCATTATCACTTCACCCAACTCCAGCTCCTCTTTTTCCAGATTAATTGAGGGAAAAAAGTAACCTGTTTCTTTCTCTCTAGCTTCCTCAAGGGAAGACCCTAAATCTCAATTCTTCAGCAATGTGTCTCCTGAAAAGATGTATATTAGGACCACTCTCCATGTCCTCTGTGGGGACTTCAAAGATCAGCCCAAAGGAGCAGACCAACTGGAATAACAAGAAGAGCTGAGACCTGCACTGAAGAGGAACATTATGTGGCAAGCACAACTTCAAAGAGATATTGCCAGGCTGGCCCAGACTTGAAAAATGAATTAATTTTTATAAAGGAGGGAAAATAAAATAGAGAAAAAAAGTGATAAGAGACTAAACAAACTGAACATGAAGGAGAACAGTAGATAACAGAACTGATTCCTCTGAATAATAAAGGGGATTGATCCACAAAATCCCTTTGCTTCTCTCTTCAGTCTTTTCACAAGCCAGCTTTTCTGGAATGCATGTTAAGACGACAGCCTGATAGCATTTGGGAGTAGCAAAACCACTGCCAATTACTGCTTCCGTATTTGCATATTCCCATCTTCTTTTATTTGTCAATTTTTATTCACCTGATTGGATCTTACAGCTTCTTCAAAATATATCTAGTAGCTGTATATTAGAGCACCAGAAACATGTTCCTTAACAAGTGCAGATTCACACTGCAGCAGAGAATCTGACAACGTTTGAGGAAGATGCTTTTCAGCTGCAGCAATAGCAGGGAAGGTGTGCTCAGTGTGCCTCCTCCTGTGCTTATTCTCATTACCAACAGCAAGAATATTTTCTCATGATCTGCTCCTGTCAAGCATACAAGTCAATGGCTGTTGTGCTCCTCCAGGCAGCAACTGCATACAATCTATCTCCTAAGCCTTCTTTACTACTACCATTGCTTCCCCCCCTTTTTTTATCCTCACAGTAGTACTTTGGCTCTCTAACTTTTTCTGACCCTCATCTCAGACACACAGATGGTTTTTTTACCTTTTACATCAGACTTGCTCAACTGGCTAAGCTTCTGACAGGGCCTGAGTGCACTGCATGTGCTTTACCTGTTAAAACCATACACATGACATTGCAGGAGGGGTGGCTTATGAGTGCACCCTTACAAGCACTGCCAACACGAGGAACTCTCTGGTTTGAGTGCTTGGCCTACACTGAATGCCACATAGTGAATGTGACTGTGGATGGTATCTCTAAGAGCATGTAGTTAATCAAAGATAACTTTCCTCTCTAAGCCAACACAAGTCAAGAAAGGCTGCTGGACTAGATGTTCCATATTGTAGCTGGTAGTAGTGGTGGCCTAGTAAATACCATGTATAAAGTATGTGTATAAATGTATGAAGTACAGTAGTACTAGTAGGTAGCAAATACTTTCGCATAGTGCATGTCACTTGGCACCCCCACCCTTTTCACACAGAACTGCTTCATTGTTTCCATAATGCCCATTTTTGGTATGAAAATTTAGTAAGCAGACAGACGGCACTCCTGGAGTCCTGCAACCTCCTCTAAATTCTGCAGATGGGAAATTGTTTCAAAGCTTTTATAGACTGTGCTGTGGAAATACCATTATTCTCCAACTGCAATAATCCAAATACATTTACATTCAACTCGCATATGAGCCTTGTGTTGAGATTGTTGAGTTCCAAAAATCCTCATCATGCTTTATGAAGTATTAGTCCCTAATTTCAAAGTGACAATATGATTGCTTCATTTTATGATCTCCCCACTCTATACCACTGTAGGACTGTAGATTCTGCATATACCTCCCAAAATTTCATGGCTGAAGAGATCATGCCTCTTGCTTGCAGTATGTGAAGGCAGTTTAGAATGCAGAACTAGCCAGAGGTTTAGACTCCACATCCTGTACCTGATTCCTGCTTTCAAACCAGCAGAGAAAGAAGCCATCAGCAAGCACATCTTGAATGAATTTGCTTGCACAGAGCCAGCTTCTTATTGAAGGCAGCAGCCTTTCTAACAAACTGTATAACAACAAGCAGGAATTTCCAAACGGCAGTCGTCACTGTTGTTTAGACACACAAAACATGTCCAACTGATGCAGGAACTCAACAGAATGCTTAATTTTGGCCATTTTGGTGCTTCCCTCCCCTTTTCACTTCTTGCTGTCTTCTACAGCTATCTATTTGTGCTTCAGCAACATTCAGGGAGCTATTCATGGACTTGAATCCTGCTGTGGTACATGACAGTTACCATGTAGTTATTTTATTCTTATTGCCTTCCTCATGTAAAAATTAAAGGGAAAAAGTAGGTAAACGAGAGAAGTAAGAACAAGGATATCAGACAGCTAGATCTCAAAACTATTTTGTGGTGGTCAGAAAGCCAAGCCCCACAGATCTTTTCCCTTCCACTGAAAAATACTACTCCCAGCATCATTTTGGCATAAGGAAATGTGTGCCTACCTTTCAGCCACTGTGATGGTTGAAGTCTCTGCTTTAAGCTGCCAGTGAAAGTAGCTTTACTAGGACGTGGGACTGCACAAGCAGTGCAGAGGAACACACATATGCTCCACGCAAATGAATCTGCCTGCTACACTGATATACAAAAGTCTGACAGAGCATGACTGTCAGGTGCCTAATTTTCCCCTTATTTAAAATGTAGATGAGAGAGGTATTAAGCACTGCAGAGCATAGGGAAACCTCTTGTTAATTTTTAAGTTCCTGTGTAGATTGAAAGTATAGATAGGAAGAAATAAACAAACGGCAAAACCAGGAAATTCTAAACAGTGTTTTATTTTACCTCTCTAATCTGTTTAAGCCATGCCTCCCTTCCACGGAATTCCTGATGAAGGATTGCAGGGGCAGAATTCAAACTGAAGGCCATGGTGTCACTAGAAGTTTCTTTAACAAATGGCTGCAGGTCCGAATGTAGCTGGAAAAGAAGAATACACAGACATTCAGTTCCCAGGAACAGTCTACACATATCCACCCACTCCTCAAACTGAGGTCCACATCCTGATTCTACACCTACTCACCACTTCCTACTTTGACACTTGTACTCTGGTTGCACTTTTTCAAGTTTGGGGGAGGGACAGAAAGATGTTGAAAGCCTTGCAGTGGTGGAAAGATGTGGAAAAGAGAAGCACATAGAGAGTCGGCAAAGACACAGCTTAAGGACAGTTTGCAGAGCTGGGCAAGCCCTGGGACACAGCTAGGTAGGAGACTGTGGAGTGGCAAGAAACAGAAAAAATATAAAGGAGAGAATGATCCAGTCTTTGGTGGGAAGAAGATCAGGTTTTAATCTGTGCAGAGTACTACATTCTACTTTTGAGTACCTGAGGAAGCAGATGCAGGATGACCTTCCTTCGGACAAAGCAAATGCTACATAGCTAGGAGCTGTCTATGAAAATTATGCAATCCTTAATACACAACTATGTATCAGTGGTGAATATATTAATATTAAAGAATATACAAAATATTAAGGATATAACTGCGTTTGAAGTAATTTACTGGTAGAATTGTACCTAGTAATAGCACATAGTGGCATTCCTGTGGCAGTAAAATTGTGCTTTATAAAACCACTTCCTTCTCCTGTAGGAACTAGAAACTGCATAAATCAACTCAGCTGAAACAGATGGGAGGTCTGTCTGCCTGTCTCAAGCTACATCTAACCTCGCAAGTGATGCAATACAGCAGAAGCAGATCTGTGTTTTCCTCTGGACTAACTCTAGCTGCAGACTCAATGTCTTCTAGCAGAGGTCAGAGACCTTGTCCAGGAAATCCTACTGCTGTAGAGGTGTAGGATGCTCCTGTCCAGATATGGTGACCTCCCTCCTTATCTTCTATCTGCCCTCTATGGAAGTTCCCTCCACAGCAGGTTATTCAGAGGGGATATGGCTCAGTCCATGCTGCTGCAGACAATTGAGCCTCACAGCACAAATCTGCATGGTGGCAGCCAAGACATAATGTACAGACTGGGCAATGAGAGGCTGGAAAGCAGTGCTGCAGAAAGGGCCCTGAAGATCCTGGTTGATGACAAGTTGAGCTTGAGCCAGCAGTGCCCTGGCAGCCAGGAGGGTCAGTGGTGTCCCAGGGGGCACCAGGTGCAGCATGGCCAGCTGGGCAAGGGAGGGGATTGTCCTGCTCTGCTCTGCTTTGGTGCAGCCTCAAGTCTTGTGTGCAGTTTTGGGCACCAAAATATACTAAAGGCATTAAACTATCAGAGTGTCCAAATAAGGCTACAAAGATGATGAAGGGCCTTGAGGGGAAGCCGTATGAGGAGTGACTGAGGTCGCTTGGTCTGTGCAGCCTGGAGGACACTGAGGGGAGACCTCACTGCAGTCTTCAACATCCTTGTGAGGGGAAGAGGAGCAGCAGGCACTGATCTCTTCTCTGTGGTGATCAGTGACCAGGGCATGAGGGAATGGCCTGAAGTCGTGTCAGAGGAGGGTTAGGTTGGATATTAGAAAAGGTTCTTCACCCCAGAGAGTGGTTTGGCACTGGAACAGGCTCCCCAGGGAAGCTGTCACAGCACCAAGCCTGAGAGAGCTCAGAAGTGTTTGGACAATGCTCTCAGGCACAGGGTGTGACAGGCAGGGATGGTCTTGTGCAGGGCTGGGAGTTGGACTCCATGATCCTTGTGGATCCCTTCCAATTCAACATGAATGTAGATCCCTTCCATTCAAATACGACATATTTCCTCCTGCAACTCCTGTTAATGGGACAGTGAGTTTAGGAATAATGAAGGAGCAGAGAAGGTAAAGTTTTAAGCTGGTGCAGAAAGATGTGCTAGAAGGAAGTTAAGAGAGCCTTTAATGTAATGAGCTCCATTGCCAGGAGTGTGATTTTAGTAGTTCACAAGCCCTGTTCATATCAAACATCTCCCTGTTCTGCAAACATCTCACTCCATACAGCAGTCAAATTTCTCAACACTCACCTGCTGGCTAAAGTCTACAGTTTAAGTCATGCAGTATATGACAGAACTCACGAGCAACATATCTTACAAGCCTTTCTATATTGAAGCTCCCAGAACAAAAGGAAAAGTGTACCTTATGACTCATAGACATATGCTTCCCATACTGGAATGCCATGTCCTGGATCTCAGCGCTGTGCTTTGCTAGCTCCATTGCAGCCTGGCAGCTCTTGGCCAGCAAGGCACTGTGCGACAGGAAAACCTGCTCCTTCCACCTAGATATGCCAATGTCATCTGTGAGGCAGTTCTCCTGAAAATGAAACAAAAGCTAACATGAAAACACCAAAACTGCACGTGTCAGCTCACAGAAATTAATATGTGACATAGGTGAGTAACATGTGGTATGTAACAAAGCAAACAAAACTCTGGGTGCCATGGTGCCAAATAAATTCTTTTAGGGATGAATAGAGGGAAGTATCAGAATAAATATATTGGCAGTTTCAAACAAAAACCTTTTCCATTTTCTTTCTCAAAAAGTACAATGCAAATTATGTGGAGCTGCCAACAGATTCAATATAAATATTTTTTTAATTACTGTATCATCACACTGAACATGAACAGCAAACTATAATCCTCATGAGGGACTGGGGAGAAAAAAAAGCCCCACAACCAAAACTCCAAAACAAACCCAAAAACCTAAACCTCTCCCTGGAGTACACCTGCACTTCAGCCCCTTCCCAGTTACCAAGAACCAACAATCCCAAACAAACTTGAGAAGTCCCTAGATTTTCTCCTTCGTAGTCAAGAAAAAAAACTAATTATAACAGGTGTTGAAAATTCTTATAGACTACACTAAAAAATGAAGGGTTGTGAGAGAGGACTTGTACCTCTTCTGCTCCCATATTAAGGGTGAGGGGCAACTGAAAGTATTAAAAAATAAATAAAGTTGAAATTTTGAAGTGTTAGGGATTAATTAACTTTCTCAGGGGCTGACAGAGGCATGTCAGTTATGCTTCTACTGAACTTTACCACCTTGAGTGTAAGGTCAGAGATGCTCAACCTGTCTCAAAAATCTTTTGTATCCCAAGTATTTATTTGGATTACTTTCCACAGTGTTTTAATTAACACAAATTAAATACTTTCTCCCAAAATCCAAATTCAGCTGCCATTCCTTTGACTCATAAGGTGTTAATATGCCACTAATTCAGTCATGTCTTCAAAGCTAGACATTACTTTAATCTGTCTCACATATTGTCATGCCTTTAGGTACTCTCTAAGGGCGGGGGGGAACCCCCGAAACCAGAAAAGATCACAGCTGTTTTGCTTAGAAAAAATAAAATCAATAATGAGAAGCTACAGAAAAAAAAATTAAAGCACAAAAATGTTTAAAATTTTGTAATTTCTCAGTTCAGCTAAATCTGTAACATATACTAAGCCAAAAGATATTCTTTAACAGAGTAATATAAAAACCCCTCATATAAAACAAAGCTTTTCCCACAAAGTGATGTCAATTAAATTACTTAGAATTGAGCAAGAAGTAATTCTGTGTGACCCTATAGTTTTCTAGCAAGGTATTATCTGTCATGAAATCAGTAACAAATGAAATAGAATCCATCCGTTCTGCTCTAATTTTCCTCCCTTATGGATATCACCCAGAAGTGCTGTGTTACAAGGGAGAGGATAATTTGAGACTAATGGAAAAAGTAGGAGAATTCTGCAATGCCAAGTAACACAGAGCTGTATCAAAATGCCTTTGCTTTCAGACATGCTATTAAGTTATACAAGGAAAGTGAAGAACAGTGAAACCACATGTTTGCTATTATGCATATGATAACTTACAAAGTCAAGCCTAAACTTTCCTCTGTTTCTGTATTTTTGTTTTAATATTTTAACTCAGCCCAGAGCATGTGCAAATTCCCATGGCTGGCAAAATGTCAAAATGAGCATTTAATTCAAGTAGTTTCCCATATATCAAGACTCTTTTTTTTCCATTTAGATATAGGTCAATTTATTTTAAATTTAAAATCAGGAGCTGTTGGAAGACGAAACACAATCTTTTCCTTAACAACCAATCTGCTCAGTGAAAAAACAGTACTTACTAAAATTCACTGGATGACACTGAAAATTGGCAGTGATTTTTATAATAGTTTGTTTTACATCAAATAAGAAAAAAATACTCTAGAAAGGTATCCTGAAACAATTTTGAAGTTAACAAAATCTTTCAGAAGACATATAAATTGAAAATGATTGCTTTGTGTAGCCTTTGGAGCAGCAAGAGAAGTGCAGACATCCAATATCAAGTGAAGGAACTGAAGAAGCTTAAGCAGTCATTGCAACTCAGTGTATACAAGTAAATTAATTATATGATTTGTTACAAAATTATATTCCTAAACAAGTTTCAATTTCATTAACAGGATTGAAAATTATGGCAGAAAAAGTTACTGTCTACTACATGAACATTTTGTAGAAGTTTCAAGCACCTAAAATGAGCATGTGACTTCAAAAAACCCACAAAAATTGAACATATATTTGAAGATTGAAATCTTAAAAACATAAGTATTGTAAATCTCTGGGCTGAAAAAACAAGCCAGTTGTAAAAAAGTATTATGTCCATATGGATGTGCTTTAGCATATGAACTTGCATGCCAGAATATAGCTGATTTTAATTAAATAACTTCTTATGACCACATACCCCTAAAGCTTCTGCTGCTTAAGACAGAGGCAGAAACATCCTGTCTTCAGCAAAGTTCTCCAACAATGACATTTTTCCCAAGCTTAACTCTCATGTTATACATAAAGTGTCTGCCAACGACACCACATTCTTACAAGGGTATGCAGGTCAGTATCTAAACACTATTTTAAAAACATCAAGGGAAAACCCAAACTACTTCTAGACTGCAAAGGCTGTAAAATCTGATATCACGACAGCTCTTACTACTTTTAGAGAAATTTCCTCTGCTTTGTAAGCTTTGTTTTGCTTTGTCAGCAGTGAGTATAAAAGTGGACATTAGCTAGCCCAGAAAACTCCTAAGACTTTGTTATAAAAATCTCTCTAAAGTCAAATGAATTCTAGTTGTAGTTGACAGTGCTCAGACGTTTGATTAACTAATGCCTGTGAACTCACCTCATTCATAAATTCTGTCACCAAAAAATGGGTGTGGGTCACAAGCACCCCATATGCTGTCGGGGGGCAGGAAGTGGTGGATGAAGAGAGCTGAACCCCTCACTATCACTGGAAGAAAACAGCCAACTCCAGAGACAGTTTGCACAATGTCGGCATGAGTGCACAGGGAAAATATCCAAATCCAGCTCTGTCAATCATAATTTCCAATGGGAAATGAAGAACAGCTGAGGGACGCTCCCATTTTACTATTGGCAAGGTCAGTTAGTGCTTTGTTAGAAATTGTCTAGTTGAGATTTTTCTTTTATTAAACTACTTCCATAATTTAAACTCTGTTTAAAACAATCACCTCAGGAAACAAAAAACTTTTAGAAAATTAAACTGTGGGAAAGGCAGCTCTCAGTGACAGTACCAAGGATCGCCAGTACAAAATCAACACTTACAATAGCACAGTTTGATTTATCTCACCAAAAAAGATTCTTATATGAGACTCAGCTGAAAATGTATTAAGGAAATATGAATGAAAAACATGTCTTAAAAGTGCACAAACCTATTTGCAAAACCAAGAAGGAGCAGAAGTCAGAGACTTTAAACTTCGGCTATAGTTTGTAACACAGCCCATCATTTATTTCCATACCATGGCAGCTCTTTCTTAACCATCTGCTGTTGCACAAAATGATCCAAACGTCTGAATCATTTATATCAAACATTAGTTCATCTCTCAGTGGGCAAATAATCCACAGAAACACATAGAAATAATTTTACATTGCATATTCAAAGTTTTAAATCAGGTAGTTCAAGAACTTCTATTTTACATAAATAAAATCCAGCACAACTATGTATCACTCTACCAGCAGCAAGACCCTGTAAAACATTTCACACATGGTTCACATAAGCTTTCAGCAGATGTATTCATGCTTGCTGAACATGACAGGGCATGTTTTATTGGTCTATTAATATCCGTCTTCACTGCTTTTGGAGGAACAAGGGTGTCTGCAAATGGGTCAATAAAGCAAGCTACTGACTACTTTTATCATGACACTGTAAAAAAAACACCACCTGGTTTTAAAAGAAAAGTTTGTAAACTTATCATAAAGATAAATAGCTCTTCACATCTGTTACTTTTAAATCTCTCTGGAAAAACTTAGTATTTAAAAGAACAAAAGCAGTAAATATATAACATTGGCCTTCTTTCTAGCTATGCTCTTTTTCCCCCAACACATTTTCCTATTCTTTTCACAGATGCTCTTTACTCAAATTCCATATTTTATGCTTTTCTCTAGTCTTGCAACAAAAACATTTGTTTAAAAAAAGTGAAAACTCTGGCTCTGCTGCCCTGCTAAAAGGTGGTTTTCATAACTCAAAATATATTTAAGTCCTATAGTACAATTATAAAAGAATCCATTACTTATAATACAGACTCATAGCAGTCAGTTGATGGATATGTGCAGTATTCCAAAACATTACTTCTCAAAGCAGGGCCAGGGATCAAACATCAAAGAAGTATTGGCACAGCTCACTGCACGTAGCCCATCCTTTTTCAGAAAATAAACTAATTTTTATTAAAAAACCCTACAGTGGTCTAAAATAAGTTAATTCACTATTTGGAACAATGAGTATTTGCTACTAATGCCTTTATTTTTTAAACTTGTTTTACATATTCGTTATGCACAACTTCCACAAAATTGCATCAAAAATTCCTTACATCTCTTCTGGCCATCAGTGGAACATGTTGGGTATGGTCCTGTCTTACATAATAGCCCAATGTTGACACTATAATGAGCTTTGCTAATGCATATTTATCATCAGCTACATAGTCTGAAGAAAAGAAAAAGTCGCCAAAACCCACCAAAGTTATTTCCCTTGAAAGTCCCTCGTACTTTAAGATTACAAGAGCATTCTAGAAGGTTAAGCACAAAAGCCAACACACTGAAGTCCCTCTCTTGATTCTGCTGTTTGGCCTTGAGCTTCCTTGTATCTCTTTCCCCTGTTCAGTGAATTGACAGGAATATTAAAGCAATCCCCCTTAGTATTTGTTAAATGATCTGGAATGTTAAAACAGAGGGGAGTTATAAATATGACAGTATTCTCTGAGTAAGCAAATATTTTAGACACCTTCAGCCTCCTGAAAGTTGGAAACAGAGACGCAGAGCAATGAAGTTTTTCTGTTAAAAACAGATAAACACAATCACAACTGAAGGCCAGACTAGACAATTTTCAACTTTGCACTCACTAAGACAAAATTTTTACTCCTAAATTAGACCTAGATTTAGGGGAGGCAAATGGGAACTGGGAAGATGCAGAATTTTGGGCTGAGAGGGGATTTAGCTCAGAAAACTGCAACAGTTTATCATATCATCCATTTCAGCTCCAGGTTATAGTTGAACATATAAGCTTAATATTGCTAATGTTATATCTTAAACCACAGCAGCTGTTTGTTACTTTGAACATGAGTGACAAGTCTTAACCTTCAGGCTGTGTCAAAGCCTACACTTCGTAGTTTGTATTGTCGCTTCAAATAATGATGAAAAGTTAAATATTTGCTTTTTCTTTCCTGTTTTCACACAGATCTAATGATTTACCTATGCAGAAAGGAGATGAGGCATGATCAAACAGAATGTACTAAAATGGGCAGCTGTAGGATTGTACATGGCTGTGCAGAGGAAAAAAGTGGTAATGGACCTGTCAAATAATTATATCCATTATATGTATTCAGGAGTAAACCAGGTCAGTCTTGTTAGGTCAAACAATTCTTTGAACTTTCCTACTGGGTTATCCAAATGAAGAAGACTGAAACTTTTTTTTGCAAACACGAACTTAGGGTCTCAGAGAAGGTCAACTTTGCAGAGATATTTTTGTATTTTTGTCTACCATTCAGCAAAGGTCAAAACAACTTGGTCCTAAGTTAGTTTATTTTATGGTACTAAAGAGCTTTAAAACAACTGCATTAAGGACATTTAACATATGAAGTAGAGTTTTCTTGCCTCAGGGTAAAAAAAGAAAGGTGAGAAGACATCCTTCTGCTTTTCCAAATTTAAGACATTCCCAGCAATGAAAATACCATTACTAGCATCCCTATGCCCTATTCCAAGAAGGAAAAATAAGTTTGACATTTGAGATTTAGTTGTGGAGCAGATTAAAGCATTTGTCTTACCTCTGGGAAATGCAGTTCACAATTTTGTTTCAATCAAATTGCAATTAGGGAAGGAGGGAAGATGCACAAAGGACACAAATAAGACAGACCAACAACTAAACCAGTCTATTTGCCAGTCTTTGCTAAAGAAATGTTCAGGACATGAATGGGACACTGCCTCGGTAGAACAGTGTGAGGAGAGCTGAAGGGATATGTCTCAGTACAACATGGAACTAAATTTCTCAGAGAACTAGATAGAAGAAATTAAAGCAGATGCCACACCTTATTGAAGGTCTCATCAGAAGCCACACACTACCCATTACAAAGGCTGAACTTCGGACACTGTCATGTAAGTGTCCCTATTACACCACCACAGTAATTGTGTTTTGAGTTAAGTGGGTTCCTCCTAGGAAGGGTACAGTGTACTTTCAACTCTCCTTAGACAGAAATAGTCACTGAAACAAAATAAGTCGTTGCTATTTGTAACTGGGCCAGGGCAGGGTAAATGTCATGCAGCTGAGCTTAGTTTATCTCACACTTCCCCTTGCAATCCACACACGTGGAAGGCTTCAGTAAGGCAACAGAAAATAGAACGATCAGAAAGAAAAGATAAAGATCTTCTGCAGTGGCAGGAACCCAAATGAGTCCAAGATTTCTCATTTACAGAGGGACCATGGTTTCAATAAAATGCCATTTCATTGCTGAGGTGAACCTGTAGAACTCTACACATGAAAAAGTAGAAACTTAGATGAGTGTTTTTTAAATATATCTGCAATCTACTTGTATTTAGAAACCTGTTGGAATACAGAAAACAACATTTCAACTATTCTTGGCAAATATCTCAAAGATGTAATCTATTTTAACATATAACCCTGAGCACAGTCTTTGGGAGCACCACTGAAGGCTGAGGTCAGTTTATACACAGGTTAAACACAGCAGGTGCAGAAGCAGGTGCAGAAGTTCCCAGTGCTGCCCTCCTGCCATGCTTCACCCAGGATCCACTCCTGAGAGGTGCCAGAGGACACTCCAGGCATGCCATCCTTTCCATGCATCCCAGGGAGCCGTGGGCCCAGGCAGCTCCCGAGTGCATTACTGCAGTCCTGCTGGAGGCTCTCACCCAGCTCAGCAGTGTGATCATTCCTTTCTAACTGGTTTCAGTCAAAATGACAGGGATACACCCCAGCGAGTTTTAGTGACATGACTTTGCTGCTGCAGAGCAGGAGGGACAGAGAGTGGCCAGGGGAGCAGCACCCTCCAGAACACAGCGCTGTTATCCAGTGGCACTCTCCACTTGCCCATTGCGCTCTGCTTGGTGCAGAGGCATCACGGCAGGTATCTACTGTAGGAGCAGCCCACGAGAACAGCTTTTTACCATGGTATCAATTTTGTTACATATGACAACACAGCAATAATAAACCAGAGCTGCAGTTTCAGTGCACAACACCTGCTGAACCATAAGATTCAGGTCTCCAAGGCACGTGAGACAGCACCACTAGAAGTGAATCTATCTACCTCAGTGGACTTCAAGATCGATACTCACATATACACAGTGCTCGCCAGTGACTGAAAATTTGCCATGATAAAACCTGTAGTGGTCACTGCAACTTTAAATTACTGATTTTATTGCATGTGTTAAGACATACAATAAAATGAAATAGATTTTCATTTTCTAGTTTGAAAGTAAATGAAAAAATGAAAAAAAAAAAATCTCTTTTTTGCTCCAACATGCAAGCCTACTTCAAGAATGGCCCCTAAAAATTCCCTTAAATATTCTAGTAAGATAAAAATACCTATATCTAATTTGACCAATTTTCATTACTGTTCTTGCTAAACAGTAACACAGAATATCTGCAATTGCCTTTGACAAAATACAAGATTATTTGTTGTGAAATGCTGGCAGCTATTACCTTGGCCCATGCTGACTTCTGAAATATGTGCACAGTGACTTCTGATGGAGAAAAACACAGGACTATACTCTTAGCACTCCAGGACAAAACTCAGAAGACAGGACATGTTATAAATTTGAAAAGAAGCATTCTGTAAACTTCTTTGGGCTTGGAAACAACACATTTGACATAAAAATATGAATGATGTAGACAACATTGAAATTAATATCTCCAACTGAACCTTGGTTAGGAACCTCTGGAAGCATTTGGAAAACCTATAGTAAGATGTGCCGAGAGCTCCTGGTAATGACACATGACAGTATTCTATTAAGCACTCACAAAATCAAAATAGTTCTTCCTTGAGCATTTCTAGAAACTTCTATCAGAGTTTACAGGTGTCATAATGATGTTACTGCTGAAATCCACTAGGACTAACAACTCTTCTGCCCTCTCCCTCCTTTTAAACAGGTGAGAAAGTTATCGTATTTACAGTACTCACACATTAATATCACCAAATGCCTAGGGTACATAAATCTAGTGAAATTCTTACCTCAGATGATTTTGAGTTTTCATAATATATCCCTTGAACTAAGTCACCAATAGCACTTGAAATGAGTTCTACAACCTGTAAAAGAAAAGGAGAAAAAGCCTTACATCTTTAATCATCACCAAATTGACTAACAAAGCTACTGTCAGATTTCCAGAGAGATAAACCACGAAGAAAGCTAATTGTGAAAGACTTCAGGACTAACTGAGATATATTCTGTGATACGTCTCTGCTAAAACCTCTACTACAGTAACTCTTCTATCAAAGTTTTAAGTTAATATAAATGAAAAACAAGACTTGTTTTCCTACAGTGTGAACTATAGAGTGTATCCTCACAAGGACGTTCACAGAACTAATAAATCCCAGTTCATGAATATGAGACAGTACCTCATCTGGGCTTTGTTTTGTTTTGTTTTTTTCCTGCCAAGTAAATACTTCACAATACCTCTCCTTGGGAGCTGTTAAAATTCTAATCTTTGTGGCTAATACAGAAAAGTCAGAATCCATAGAAAGGTAACCTTTCAAACGTGATCATTTGGTATTCAGGTGCCCTGGGAATGCACTGTGGATGTATTTAGTGCATGGCCTGAGGCTCAGCTGTACCACATACACTGAAAGTCTGCAACACGGGAATGTTTAAATCAGATTTATCAATCTGTATTATCTTCAGGGTTCAGGCTTTTTATTTTATTCAAGCAAAGCCTAAAAATCTGAACTTGATCCAGAATGTAAAACAAGTAGTCCGCAGTCTCCCTGGAACTACTGTAAAATTTGACGTTGTGCACATGAACTGTCTTAATTGGAACAAAATAGTCAGATTTATTGTAAAATTAAATGCAGGCATTTCAAATAAGCACACCTTGAGGCTACCTCTGGTTGCTCACAAAGTTTTAATTTCTTGAATGTTTAATTTCCTATGCATATGAGTCTGTATCTGCTTCCTAAAATTCAATGTAGTTCTTATTGAATTAAAAGATTTAGTTTCAATTTTTATCATTCTTGTAACTGAAGACAAGAAGTCAAATGATAAAAGCCCTAACGGAAAGATATTCTAACATTTAGGCATGCTTTATTTGATAATAAAACCACATTTGTATGCTAGTTTTGAGTACAAGCAGAAAGGTTGTGTTTTCTTTTTTTTTAAACACTGGCTCATATACATATTCATATACACATAGCAAGCGCTAACTTTAGAAATGGTGCTGATTAAAAGTCATGTTTTTTCTTGCAATGCATATGGGTTAATTTGCAAGACCTACAAAAACAGCCTGAAAAAAAAAATCACATTGCCCTTTAGGAAACTAGACACCGAAGAAATATTGTAGCAATATGAGCTTTGAAGGAACTGAAAGGACAATGATCCTACAGTGTTACCAGATGTGTTGAGTTATTTAATGGGGGGAACAGAGAAAATGAGGGGCTCTTTTTTTTTTTTTTAACAACAACCCTCACCCTCCTTGCCTTTTTTTTTTTTTAAGGTATCAGATAAGCCTTATTCCCAAATCCAGGAGGACTGAGTATCGCCAATAGGTCTATGAAAGTCTGTAACTAAATGCCTAGGATCAGATTGTATTACAGTTTATACAAGCAACATCCCAAGATTCTTCTGATGGCTAAGACACATAATACAGATCAATCACTCACTCAAAAATGTTATGGTTTGTGAAATGGTCTGAGCTCAGAGACCTACACTGGTAATACGAAGAGGAATTTACAAAGACACAGAGTCCTACTCTAAATGTCAAAGTGATAGTATGAACTTTTAACAATGCAGCTGGCTCTGGATAACTAGACCTTTTCCTCTCTTGCCTGAAACTCTAGACTGAGCAGGACCCTGTTTTGGGGTTTCTTTTTTCCACCTCTCCTCCCTCTTTTTAGTGCAACTCTACTCTCCAAGGCAATTTTAACTGACTTAATACAAGCTTAGTGAAACATTTGTGAACAATTGTACCTCTTCCTCTAAGAGTTTATAAAGCATCTTAGGAGAATGACACAAGAACTATTTATATAATCCTTTTATTAAATACCATGAAGTGACATATTGAGCATTATATGCCAGTGAGAATTTAGTATTAATATTCCCCCCCCCTTCTTTCCAAATATATATATATAAAATACTTTTAAGATAGATGTAAGGCTATACAGATCGCTACCAGGAGAGAAATTCCAGTTTCAAGAGCACAGTGGGATGCTTGCATGAGGCTCTGTTACCTCACCAACCCTTAATCTGTTCTATGAAAAGCACCTCCTGCTTAACATCAGTGGCCTGGAGTCCTGAACGCTGGGGAAAGAAATGAGAAATAAGGAAACCTGGCAATTTTCCTCTGCATCCCAAAGTGACAGAGGAAGAAAAATTATTACAGATTCCGTAGTATTCATGACACGATACAGTGTCTAGCTCTTAGGTAGCACTTTTCATGAGAAAATTTGAAAGCAATCAACATCTCCTGTTAAATTTATTCCCTACTGTTTAATATAAGGGGAAAAATGGCAACAGTGAACTGATTTTCCAGAAAATCATGCAGTCTGCCAGCGTAAGAGCAGCAAACACTATCCGAGCTGTCTTCATTCTCATTGCTGCCTTTCTGCCTGACCAGCACCGACGTTTCTGATTTGTAAATCTGAGGGGAAAGAAAGTTAGATGAAAAATGAAGTGATCTCATCTGCTTCTCTTCTCTTTTGACAGTTGAGCTCCATTTTAAAAAGGTTCAGAGATAAGGGAAGAGAAGAAAAGATTGCCAGAGCTAGTGCTGGAAAGCAGCATCCCAATAGAGACTAAAGGCAGACAATTCATAACCTCTCTTCCCACTGCTTTGCACTCCTCAACATGTTTTTGAGAAGCCTGGTTCCTCATAGGTACACGGGATGAGCAGGAGCAACCACTCATTGAGATAAAACAAACTTCCACTGTATTTTTCATTTTCCACTCTGCATCAGCGTCTTCCAAAGTGCTGTTTTCTGCTCCTTCAGTATCCCCATGACTAGGTATTGCTCAGGGGATGACCCATTATTTGCAGGTGACAAATGCACATGCAAGTGATTCCACACCCTTTAAACATATTTTGCAATAGTTCTGCAGTGTCTTTTTTTTTTTTTTTTTCCTAAGGAGGTATTATGTCGACACTTTTTGTAGGGATGTGTTCTGCTTTTAAAAAGTCAACAGAAAGGCCATCTATTTACGATGAATACATGGAAAAGAGATGGATTGTTAAAGCTAAAATCTCTCCTACTATTTAGGCAGACTAAGTATATAACATGATGTAAATTCTGGACACAACCATTTGATTGCTCATTCCACAGCAAGCTAGAACGCATGCTCTGACCTCTCCAATACATTAAAGTATAAAATAGTCCACAAGACTATGCTGTGTATCAGAAGAGCTCTTCCCAGAAGAGCTCTGTAGGGTTACAGATTAGAAATTTGGTAAATTTACCCTTTTCTGGTGTAGTAAATTGTTTATCAAAAAGACACAGCTTTAGCCCTTCAAGACTCTTTAATTTTACTTTGAGTCTAATTACTCAAGATCAAAATTTCTATGTATTACTTGAAGAAATAAATAAAAATGTTGGTAATTCACTTAGTTCAGAAAATTACTCAGGACATCCAACCAATCACTTAATGAATGTCCTCCTTCATTTTCCTGAAATCAGAATTTCGTGTAGTTTCCTGAGGGCTTATTTATAAGAGTTCAGAATTCCCAAAGCATCATCCCAAGCAAGTCACAGAATAGGGCCACATGTTCCCTGTTGCATGTACAGCAGCCCAGTTCATGACTGCAGTTTATTGTCAAGGCAGATTCAACTCTGTCTAGAGAAAAAGAGGTGTGGAAGTGAAGCTCTATGCTAGAAGGAATGCAGGGAAATAACAGAATAGAAGACATTTTGGTAGACTACTTTCTCCAGAGTTAAAATATATGATTCATACTCTAACAAGAGCAGTAAAAAGAATGGATTCTGAGCCCCTCATCCTTCACAAGGCTTTTAAACAGCCTGGATGAAAAGACAACACTGGTGCCATCAACTCAGCAATGCAAGCACTTTGCTCTCTTCACTCATCTTCAAAATACTTCGTGTAAGGTTTACTGCAACATAACACCACTTACGGTTTTTTTCTCTGGTTTTCCTTCTAGTTTACAAAAGGAATGAATCTGAGCTCCATTCAAAGAATGGTCATTTTATTTTAAATTCAACAACTGAAATGGAATTGATTACATAGACCACTCAATTTCAGAGTAGTAATGTGGTGTCTCTCCAGACTCTATTGCATATTTTCAAAGGAAACACCACAGAAAGGATGAAGCTCTTGTGGGAAAACAGGAAGCAGCACAAGGAAGAACACAGCAATGGGTATAACTTTGTTCCTCATCCCTCACAATTTCTATTTGACAAACTTCCTTAGCTTTGCCAAATTCCTTCCAAGAAGGACCAGAAGTAATTCCTTCCATCCTTATGTTGAAACAGTATCCTTTCCTCACACATCTGCTATTGACAGACCTTAATCCTTGCTGCTGATGTGTAGATTTGAAAAGGTAGCAGGACTTCTCCACAGAAATAAAGAAGAAAATTAGATGATCATGAACTATTATATACACAGATAAAAATCCATTCAGCTAGCACTTCCCTCCCCAAAGAAGCAATAGTTTGAGAAATACTCCAACAGTCAATAATTCCACAGAAATTGACCCAAAAACATTGCAATACTAGGAAGCTGAAGACAAAACTCAGCCAAGAGTTGATTTTGGATTTTGATTGTTCAATAATGCCTTTAAAAAAATAATGATGGGGGTGGGGGGGGAGCAAAAACTGTAAGAGAACAGAATGGTGAAATTCAAGAACAGTGAAAAACAAGCAATTCCAAGAACAGTGAAATTCAATTTCCTTTCCTGGTAATCTCCTCAAACATCATTAGTCATACAGGTAACCAAGTGTGTCAGCCTACAGAATGTTTTTAATGTTTATTGAATCCTATTGGATTAATTGTTTGAAATCGTCTTGAGCTTTACTGTCTTTTGGATCTGTCTCTCTCTCAGTAGAGAACGCACAGGAAGGACAGTGATTTGCCTTTCTAGCATGCTTTA